AGCCATGAAGTGTCACATGTTGATTAGACTCTTCTGGTCACCTTACCAAGTAGGCCTTTGACACCAGAGGTGGCCAATATGTGGCCCTCCAGATGTTGTTGATCTTCAGCTCCCCTCATCCCTCTGACCTAGTGCCTATGCTGTCTGGGGCTGATGGGAGCATGTCTCCATCCCTACTCTACACATCACAAGGGAGACATAAGGTTTCCCTCCCTCACCAAGCTGCCAGAACAAACATGTCATGTCTCAGCCCAATCTGAGAAGTGTGATTTAGGTGGCCGCACGATTCATTGCCAAAGTTTACCTGCCTTCTCCCAAATGTGTCAGAAAGCTTTAACAGGTGGTTGTTAAATTCTTTCCTTGCACAGCATGAAATGATTCTGGTTGTCTCTTTACTAAGGATCCAATAGTTACCCTTTAAAATAAGGTATTTATTTTTATTTTGCTTGGATACCGACATTTGGATGTCCTCATGCTTGCATTTTAGGAAAGAAATATTTTTCTCCAAACACAACGGAAATGTCACAATTGCCCACATCTCCCTATGTGTCACCCTCCCTGCATGTACCTGCAGCAGAACATGAATGCTACACGAAATGTAGTATGTAAATTGCCTTTAAACGTTTTGCAGACATTAAAGTGCAGGGGCAGGTGTGTATGTTGTGTTTTATGCATTCCCGTGTGATAAAATAAGCCTGTAATTAAGCTAATGATGCCACTGCTGAAAGCTGTGCTACTTGTCGGCTCCCAGGAACACAGATGAGCTGCCTTGCATGTTTACATAATTCGCAACTTAAAGAGCTCCCAAGAGACAACATCACTTGCCTGTTGTGTAAAATGCACAAAGAAGCCCAAAGATGTATACATTCATTTTTATGCATCAACACTAGTGACCTAAGAATAAAGCAGCAGCAAGCACACAATGGTCTGGGGTGTGCATCAGTTCTGTGCGCAACCCAAACTGTGGGGTGAACACAGGAGATTTGGGCAAGGTTTCCCTATGCCTGTGTCAGTTTTGCAGCATTAAGAATGCATCTCAAGGCAGATCAAGGAATCCCTATAGCAGGCATCCCCAAACTCTGTCCTTCAGGTGTTTGGGAACTGCAACTCCCATCATCCCTAGCTAACAGGACCAGTGGTCAGGGATGATGGGAATTGTAGTCCCAAAGCACCTAGAGGTTTGGGTTTAGGAATGCCTGCCCTAGAGTAGCAAGTCCCTTAGACAGGCTTCACCCCAACTCCTCCAAAGGTTTGACCATGCCTGAAAATTGCATCCAATTCTGGCAGAAAATAAAGCAGTCTTTGGGTTTCCTTGTCTTTTTAAAAGCAAATTTCAAAGTTGCCCTGTACAAAAAAACCAAAAACCTCTTGGATAATTTGCCAGGCTTGTGCACTTTGAAGGGGTTCCTGTGCCTGCAAATTTCATTCAGTTATGTGAAAAAAGCAAAAAAGGTTTTGATTTCCCATTATAGTAAGGGAGGGGGTGAACAGTGCTTTATTTCTGAGAGATCTAATAGATCCTAAATGATGAGATGAATTCTAAAGACAGAGTAGATCTGAAGCAAATTAGGTCTGTTTCACAAAGCTACTGATACAAGTTCAGTCTTAAAGCTTTTGCATAGCCCTAATATTTTCAGCTGGGATGCAGGTGGCACTGTGGTCTAAACCACTGAGCCTCTTGGGCTTGCCGATCAGAAGGTCGGCAGTTTGATTCCCTGCCACTGGGTGAGCTCCCATTGCTCGGTCCCTGCTCCTGCCAACCTAGCAGTTCGAAAGCACGTCCAAGTGCAAGTAGATAAATAGGTACCCCTCCAGCGGGAAGGTAAACGGCGTTTCCATGCACAGCTCTGGTTCGCCAGAAGTGGCTTAGTCATGCTGGCCACATGACCTGGAAGCTGTATGCCAGGTCCCTCGGCCAGTAAAGCGAGATGAGCGCCGCAACCCCAGAGTCATTTGCGACTGGACCTAATGGTCAGGAGTCCCTTTACCTTTTAATATTTTCAGCTAGGCAAGATACTTTGGATCCAAGGGGTAATAAGGAGTACAAGTTTAGGCCTATGTTTTAGTTGGACAAACTCTATTATCAAGGTGCTGTTTCATGGGACTGGCCATCTCTATAAGTGGTGGAAAGGCTGCTGGACTCCCACTGGAGACTTGGAGACAACTGGAAACACATAAAAAGACAACTAGATTGCAAGTGGTATAAGACTAAATCTGACTGATTTAGGCTCATCTGTAGGCCCATGACATGTCAGTGGTGGTGGCAAAGAAAGTTTCCATGTTTAGCTGAGCTGCTCTGGGTGTCGTAGTATCGTTGCTGAGCAACAACATGCAGAGTTCAGTGGAGTTGGAGGCCAGCCAACTAGAAGAGTATCTGAGGTGTACTTGCCTGGAGGCAGAGTCAGTATCCAAAGTCAGGACCAGTCCCAGGGGCAGACGAACAGCAATCCGCATGGGCAGATGGTCTAGGTGTCAGGGAATCCAATGATCATGGGGTCAAGGTTCAAGATTAGCAGGAAGCAGCAAGGTAGGGCCAGGAAATACAAGCGTCCTTACCAGCATCTGACTGCCGCTGGAAGCTCTGCTCAAGAAGGCTGAAGCCAACTGGTTCTCATCAGCACCTTCTCCTCTGAGTCCTTGAAGGCTGATCAGCTACAGGTGGAGTCACTCTTTCTTCCCCTCCTTCGGGCTGCTGTTCAGCAGGCAAAGCTGACTCCCAGCCCATGACACTGAGTGCTGAAGGGACATCTATGTCTAAGGGACTATCCACAAGGCAGCTACTGATTTCTAGGGTTGTTTTGATTCCTTTTTTTCCTAATCAACTAGCTCAGATTCATAGAAGTCCATACAGGTCTAAGTCCTGTAACTGTTTGGATCATTTTGGCATTGTCCCTGGTTTCTTGAGGATGGGACTAGACTAAGGCACTTTGCTGACTAAAGGCAAAGGACAAAATAGTATCCCAGGACAGAGACTGCCTAGCCTCTGCCAATATTTTGTGGGGTGGTCTCTGTAGTGAGAACCAGAGACTTTAGCTCCCAGGTGATGATATGAACACACTGATAAGGTTCGGAACTGCTCTGCATTTTATAAAATTTCTCCAGGGGTATAAAGCTTACCTCTAGCAGAGGGCCTCTGACTGCTGAGCAGGCTTATGGCTCTGTATCAGTTGTGCTGTTGACCGTTGTATTTAGTGCTACTGTATTAACTTGGTTTCCTTGTTAGAGCTTTATTGTACTGGAAGCTACCTCAGGATTCAGAGATGTGAGATATAAGCAGACAAAATAAATGGTAGCATGGTCCACAGGTGATATGTAGCCTACTTACCTGGAGCATGCCAAATTTTAAAATGGGGACAGAAATGTGAAACCACTAAATTATGCCTCTTCAAGAGCTTCAGTATTGTCTCTTGTTGACTGAATTGAGACCAAATGTTGTGTGTGTGTGTGTGTGTGTGGTTTTCTAGCACATGAGACGTGGTAATTGGCTTACCAATGCCAGGATGCCTGTGTTATCAACACCCTTTGTGAATTACCACTGTTAAGCACTTGCCACCATCTGTCTTTTTCTGCATTTCTTTTTCCTATGGCTTCACTGTTTATGCTGTTTTTCCTGCTGCAAGAAACTAACAAGGCTAGGTAAAGGTAAAGGGACCCCTGACCAATAGGTCCAGTCGTGACCGACTCTGGGGTTGCAGCGCTCATCTCGCTTTATTGGCTAAGGGAGCCAGCATACAGCTTCCGGGTCATGTGGCCAGCATGACTAAGCCACTTCTGGCGAACAGAGCAGTGCACGGAAATGCCGTTTACCTTCCCGCCGGAGCGGTACCTATTTATATACTTGCACTTGGACGTGCTTTCGAACGGCTAGGTTGGCAGGAGCAGGGACCGAGCAACGGGAGCTTACCCCGTGGCGGGGATTTGTACTGCCGACCTTCTGATCAGCAAGTCCTAGGCTCTGTGATTTAACCCACAGCGCCACCTGTGCCCCTTTAACAAGGCTAGCACTCGACTAACTACAGTATGCCTGTGAAGTAGTGGAAAGAGTTTCACTACTCCCCTTCTTCCACAGACATGTAGATCCGTGACAGAATTCTCAGTACTAACTAACTGTTGTTGGCATCCGTCTGTCTTAGGAGACAATGGAGTGTGCCTCCAGGGATGAAAAACTGCTGGAGGAGCACAGCGCTTGCTGTGGCTGCAGAGACCGATGACTCATAACTGCTGCCTCACATGTTGTTTTTGCTGTGTTAGCAGCACCGATGTGACTTTCCTGGCACACAACGCAGGGCAGTGTGTATGGAGGTCCTGGGCTATCCAGACGGCAAGACATCCCTGCTTAGCCCTTCTGATGTAGTTCAAAGGAAAACAGAGTGATATGTTTAGCACCAGCTCGGCTGCAGGAGGTGTCCGGAAAAGGTTTACAAGGCACCATCCAACCATCTTAGGGACTCCACATTTGTGAAGGGTTTACTCCTTAACCTTTTCTTCTCCCCAAGATACCCTGCAAGGCAGCAGTTACAAATCAGATATAACTAGCTTACCATTAATTTAAATGCAGCTAGTGGAACTGTACCCGTTTGGTCATTGGTATGAGTCCATTGTCCGTTAAGAATGAAGAATTAACAGAGAGGTTTTAAACCTAATCATGGTTCATGTAATTATTTGATAATTGCCTCAAAAGCCAAGCTTATTATATAATTGAATTCCTGGAAAATTGATTTCCTATATATTTTCTTACAGTCACTTCCAGATTTAAAATGCAGCAATATTCTGTGCTCACCAACAGATTTAGGGGGAGGGGGGTTCCACTGTGTTCAAGTGCCATAAATCAACAAACAAAGATTTTTACGGTTTTCAGTAATTATAAGTAAAAGCAATAACAGCCGGGATCCAAATTCATCATCATAGCTCCACAGTTCAGTTCAGTTCCTTTCATTTTACTGCAGAGTGGAAATGCCAGATGATCAGTCTTAAATTCCAAATGAACTAAATATATGGGCATTAGAATCTCCCTCCCTCTTTCAGAGACTGACAGAGAGAATGAGAATATAGAGTACTGTGACTTCACAGTATAGTCAGACAGCATGACTTCCCAACAGGTTATTCTGCTTTCCTTTGAACACACCTTCTAGGGGACTGTTAAAAGTACTGATGGCCTGTGATAATTGGGGTTTTCGGAGCCTTCCATAGAATGAAACGTTCCTTGAAATGAATGTTGTGGAAAGCAGCAGGAGACAAATCTAGCTGTCTCCATGGTAGCAAGGCCAGGATGGGAGAGTGGAAGCAATAGATGTACAGTATCTCCTTGATCTTCTGCTTACATCTGGAAATGTGGTAATCTGTACAGCAGGAGTGGGGAATCTGTGTCCCTGCAGACATTGCTCATAATCCCTCACTGTTGCCATGCTGACTGGTGCTGATGGAACAACATCAGAGGACCACTGGTTTGCCACTTCTGCAATAGAAGTAGAGAGAAATAAGGATAAAGAAGGAAGAATGTGGGAAAATCCCATGACATGCCCCTGGTTACCACTGGTCAGCAGTTTGAATCCCTGTGACGGGATGAGCTCCCGTTGCTCTGCCCCAGCTCCTGCCAAACTAGCGGTTTGAAAGCACAGCAGTGCAAGTAGATAAATAGGTACCACTGCGGCAGGAAGGTAAATGGCATTTCTATGCACTCTGGTTTCCATCGCGGTGTCCTGCTGCACCAGAAGCAGTTTAGTCATGCTGGCCACATGACCCGGAAAGCTGTCTGCGGACAAACGCCGGCTCCCTCAGCCTGAAAGCGAGATGAGCACCGCAACCCCATAGTTACCTTTGGCTGGACTTAACCATCCTGGGGTACTTTACCTTTTTTTACCTACCATTGCAGATGATGTTGCAAACTCCACTAGGGTGTAGGGAGTGCTACTTACCTGTAGGGACTCTTCAGATTTCACTGGGCTGTCACTAAATTCATTGCACTACTTCTCTGTGCATGAGAAGCTATTAGAATACTCACACAAACCTTTTAAAAACTTTTAAGAATATAAGCCGAGCCTTCTGGTTCAGGCCAGTGACTCATCTAGTTCAGAATCTTGTTATCACAAAGGCTAACTAGATACCTAAAGGGAAACCTACAAGCTGGACCCAAGCATAAGAGCTCTCAGTACCCCTGCAGTTTCTATCAACTGGTTTTCAGAAGCTGCTGCTTCTTCTTTGGCAATCACTCATAGCCGAATAAGATTGTCTTCCATAAACATAGTTTTAACAGTGGATCCGTAAGTGACTGTGGAGGCCAATTCTGGATCCACGTGTCCTTCCACAGTGGGTTCATAGGTTTTTGCCAACTGCCAAAGGACTTTTGGGGTTTGGTTTTGGGGTGGGTTTTTGTGCATGAATTTGTTTTATGTGTGTAGATCAGTGCATGCTGATCAACGCACAGTCTTCTCAGTAAGGCTCTATTCCAATGGCATGAATATCACAATGACCAGTAGATGCTTATCTGCTGCTGCCTTCATCCACCTTCACAGCCATTGTAACATACCACTTGTTATCTTTCGCCTGTTGAGGACTTCTTCGATCATTCTTTGTCTAGCTCCTCCCCTTTGACCTTACTGCCTTGGGTGACCCTGATGGGAGTACGAAACTCCCGGCGGCTTCGCTCACAAGGGTCATAGGAACGTGCAAGCCCACTCACCACGACAAGGTGATGATCCAGCGAGTGAGTATTCAGAAGCATACTGACTCTGACAGTGGAGATGAAGTATAGCTTTCAGGGATAGTAGCCACTGATAACCTGGGCCAGTTGTATGTATTTCTAATAATCCAATTGTCTTTTGACACACATTCTTTGCCATGCTTATTTCTCAAGCTATTTTTTTAGAAAAAGAGTTGATGGAATGTACCTTGAACACCTCCCTTGTTCTCTTATAATGGCCATGGCACCCATCTGAGAGGTGCCGGCTGGGAGGGGGGAAAAGCCCTGCTTATTTCAGTTTGTGATTCTGTATGATCACAATAATAGAGATAATTGTTGTATTCTGCTGGGCCCAAGTGGCACAGTGGTTTAACCCACAGCGCCACCCGCTTGCCCATCGAAAGGTTGTCGGTTCAAATCCCTGCGACGGGGTGAGCTCCCGTTGCTCTGTCCCAGCTCCTGCCAACCTAGCAGTTCGAAAGCACGCCCATGCAAGTAGATAAATAGGTACCGCTCTGGTGGGAAGGTAAACGGCGTTTCCGTGCCCTGCTCTGGTTTCACCAGAAGCGGCTTAGGCATAATGGCCACATGACCTGGAAAAAAAATGTCTGCGGAAGCGGACAAACGCCTGGTCCCTCGGCCTGTAAAGCGAGATGAGAGTCGCAACCCTAGTGTCATTCGCGACTGGACTTAATTGTCAGGGGTCCCTTTACCTTTTTTTATTCTGCTGAGCAACTGCCATTTAAGGATAGAGAGGAAGGAGGAGGCTGTTGCTTATATATTTGTCATTAATTGACATTTTTACCACTATACTAACATATGGCATACGTATATAGAAACTGCCAGATGTCAAGGAGTCTAACTAGTACACCATGTTCCTTTCTTTTCTCAATGCTAATTCATACACTGTGTAATATAAGCCAACGAACCTTGCAAAGCATTAATGCTTGATAACTGCAACCCGTTAGAAATCACTTCGTTTGGGTTTCATGATTTTCATTCCTTAGGATCAATACAGCAAGCACACACACAAATCTGTCTAGAAGCCAAACTACTGTGGTGTGGCTCAAGAAATATGAGAGAGCAGACAATTTCATTGCCGTCTTTCAATCTGTTCCACCCCCCCCCCCAGGGTGTTGGGGGTTGCAAGTTATTCTTATCCAGTCTGTGGCTGAAATATTTTAGAATCTCTTGCCTCCTCCCTCCTTTAGTAGAGAGTGTACCATCATTCATCTGGTGCCACAAAATTGTAAACGGCCAATGCCTTTGATGAGTACCTCACTCTGCTCTTGGCTTCTTTCCTGCATCGCAAAACAGCAATAGATTACCTGTGTGAAATGATTTAGCTTTAGTGGGTTTTTCTCTGTCTCCCTACACCCAATAAGATACCTTCTTCCTGCCCTCCCAAGATGCATAGGATAGATACATCGTCATTCTTTTGGAAAGCAGTATTGAATTATTATATGATTAAAACAGTTAATGGATAGAATCAGAGAGAGAGAGAGAGAGAGAGAGAGAGAGAGAGAGAGAGATATTGAGGGGCTGTTTAGGGCTTTCTATCAGACCATTGGTCCATCTAATTCAGTCTACAGTGGCTATCAGCAGGTCTCCAAGATTTCAGTCAAGGGTCATTTCAACCTCCACCTGAAGATGCTGAGGATTAGACATAGAACCTTCCACATGCAAAGCAGAATCTCTTCCACTGAGATACGGACCGGTGTATGCCACATGGCAAGCTCTGTGCTCCACAAGGTAGCCTTCTGCTCTCAGGTGTGATGGACAATGCTGATCCATTGCCAGATCTGAAGTAAGGCTACCTCTGCACCATGCATTAAAGCATTCCTATGCCACTTTAACAGCCATGACTTCCCCTCTAAAGACCCACAGCAACTGTGGTGGTTTAAAGGGCTGAGTATTGTTAGGAGAACCCTCACAGAGCTACAATTCTGTAGCTATGACCTTAAAAGTCAGCTACCGATCTTGTTGGCTTCTGAACATGAAATGGGTGGGACACCATCTTGTCCTTTGCCTCAGGCATCAAAACATGAAGGACCACTTGCACTTTGTATTAATAATGTTTACATTGTTTTAACATCACCAGTATTGGAGTGGTGTGACTTCAATGGAAATGCTTTAATATAATGAGCCACTTTAACTAATATTTACATTGTGTATTTTCATATCACATATGATACTTGGGGAGGCAAAATAGCTGTTGTATGCTGACAGTTGTCCACAGCACACTTGCTATGTCATAATTTTATCTTTAAAATATATGCACGCAGGCCAATTTATTCTGAATTAAACTGGGTACAAAGTCAGGCAAGTTTCTGCACATCTTCACTACCAAAGGAGGATTAAATCCATTTTACTGTCATGGCCTCTCCACAAAGGACCCTGTGAAGGACAGTTGTGAGGGTATACTAAAAATGTAAGGGACCAAAACCTCCTCCCAGAACGACGTTTCCCGGTGAGGGAAAACATCCATGACAATGCAGGTAATTTTAAATCAGGTTGAGGGTACACCATTTGATGTTAGGGATCTGATTTAAATGTGTATATATTTCAACAGAGTAGATCTGCATGGAAGACTTCTGAGTATTGTGGACTAGGGTCATGCTGAGTCTGAAGCATGACTTCATGGTGTGAAGCTGCAGAAGTGTCCGTAGAATTGAGAGAGAACTATGCTCCGAGCAGCAGCAGGAAGAGGAATTACTGTACCCAAACTGAATTAACCCATCAACAAAAAGTGGCACTCGTAGGTCTCATCACATCAAACTGCTGAGATACAAATCACCACATCAGCGCTTTGCCAGACCAGCAATCTTCTCAGCAAGGCTTAGTTATTAAGTTGGAAATTCGCAAGCCTAGCTAAACAGCATTACTTGCCAGACCCTTTCACAAAATGCAGAATTTTAAGTAAGCAACAGTAGATGCTAGCAAATAAAAAACCAACAACAGTTCTTTATGAGTGGCAGTCGTACCATTGCACAAAGCTGCAGTGCAGAGATATCTGCTTGCCATTTGGATCCCCTACAGATGTCAAATCGAACAAAACTCCCTTTCCAAAATTAAAAAAGTAAAGCAACCTAAAAATCAGCAGTACACTGAGAAAAATGAAGTCAGCACCAAGAGTTCTATATTAGATGTAGTAGGAAGTGTGAGGATCTGTATCAACACAAGAGCTGATTCCAAAACATACGGTAATATTACAGAAAAAGCAGTAGCTGTGAGCATGTCTTTAGATGAAAATAGGCCTTCATTGCTGCTGGTAGTTATTCTGTGTTAATTATTCATGCTCATTGTCATTATTTGTTGCACTGATATCCCAATGTTTTTTCCAAAAGAGAGAACAGCAAGGCAAGCATACAATGATTTGTTCCATTGTGATAGCCTAGAGGTCATTTCTACCTTTCTTGGTGCTTGTTTGCTGACAAAGCTACTCTCAAGCTTGGTTCGTCAAGCTTCAAACCTATCAGTAATCATCTGGGAATAGGAATGTGTGGATTTGATTCAGGTCACATTTAAATGTTCACTGTCCAAAATTATATGAGAACCGAAACACAGCCATCCTTTGAAATTCACACTTCTCTGAATATTCAGTTCTTCACAGAATTTGCGAGTCTCCAGCAAGGTAATGTGTACAGAAATCGATAAAGTGTGCATGAAAATGCATATATCGGTGGAAATGATGTACCAAAAAAGACACTGGGTTAGGGAAAATTGCTTTGCAAAAATGTACATGTCGGGCAAAAATGCTTACAAGCATATGTACGTTGGGAGTAATTCACACCAAAATGGTGATGAATTTTCAGGTTGGCTTTTATGGGGAGAAAGTCCACAATCACAAGCTGTTGTGGAAATATGGAGAATTAAACCTAAAACTGGAAAAATGCCAAATCCATGACTTCTGTGTATAAATGCTCATTGGACTTTTATAAGTAGAGGTACAGGAACTCAGAAAATAGGGAATCAGAGTGTACTGTACAAGCCAAACAATGGAAAATTGCTTTAGAATCTATATGGAATGTTTCTCTAGATTGGAATTTGAGACTGATCCAGCAAAAATTGTTTGTTTGTTTTCAAGTATTTTGGAGTCCACAGCATTTTGTATAGGAAGTCGTTGTCGAATCCAGATAAATGCTGAAGGTGTTGTGCGGAAAAGGCCTCACTGAGGAACAACTTGTGAGCATGTTCAGTAATACATTTATTATTATTATTATTTGGTCTGAAGTTCTTGTCCATATAAATTTCCTACTGGCAAAATATTTGATATTTACAGAGGTTCGTGAACTTTTAAATTATATCCCTTTTGACAGTAGGACAACAAAAGTTGGTGCTGTGAACCCTTACGGTTGCCAAGAGACATACACTTTGAGCCTGGAAGGATAAATCCCCCACTCAGTGGTCTGATGACCTCACTGCCTTTGCTGCATTTGAACAAATTTTTAAAATAAACAGTTTTGTGTGGGTATCTATATGGACGTCTGGAGGCCTTATATTGACTTAAATGTTTAATTTTAGAGGGAGGTATGGACGGCTGTTGTATTCTCAATGTGAGCTAACAGTGCATATTGTTGTGGTGATTTTTTCTGTCTTTTTTAAAAACCTGTTTTTGCTTTCCCCCCTTCTTTGTTAAATTTGACACATATAAAAAACTGATTTGTGCATCCCTACCTGGGAGTAAGTTCTGTTTAATCCATTGACTTCTAAGTAGACCCATATAGGATGGTGCTTTAAATTCAGAACCGAGGAGGCCAGACCTCACCTGGAGTACTGTGTCCAGTTCTGGGCACCACAGTTCAAGAAGGACACTGACAAACTGGAACGTGTCCAGAGGAGGGCAACCAAAATGGTCAAAGGCCTGGAAACGATGCCTTATGAGGAACGGCTAAGGGAGCTGGGCATGTTTAGCCTGGAGAAGAGGAGGTTAAGGGGTGATATGATAGCCATGTTCAAATATATAAAAGGATGTCACATAGAGGAGGGAGAAAGGTTGTTTTCTGCTGCTCCAGAGAAGCGGACACGTAGCAATGGATCCAAACTACAAGAAAGAAGATTCCACCTAAACATTAGGAAGAACTTCCTGACAGTAAGAGCTGTTCGACAGTGGAATTTGCTGCCAAGGAGTGTGGTGCAGTCTCCTTCTTTGGAGGTCTTTAAGCAGAGGCTTGACAACCAAATGTCAGGAGTGCTCTGATGGTGTTTCCTGCTTGGCAGGGGGTTGGACTCGATGGCCCTTGTGGTCTCTTCCAACTCTATGATTCTATGATTCTATGATTCTATGATTCTATGAGGTGAAAATACCTTGAAAAATCTTCCTACATTGAGTACATTTTTATGCCACCAAGGAGCTCACATTGGTGTGATTTATCCCTCTCGCCTGCATTATGCTTACAACAACCCTGTAGGGCAGGGTAGATGATGTATTGTGCAAGGTCACCCTGTAAGACATGTCTGAACAAACAGAGCCAATGTGGTGTAGTGGTTAAGAGCAGTAGACTCGTAATCTGGGGAACCGGGTTCGCGTCTCCGCTCCTCCACATGCAGCTGCTGGGTGTCCTTGGACTAGTCACACTTCTCTGAAGCCTCTCAGCCCCACTCACCTCACAGAGTGTTTGTTGTGGGGGAGGAAGGGAAAGGAGAATGTTAGCTGCTTTGAGACTCCTTCGGGTAGTGATAAAGCGGGATATCAAATCCAAACTCTTCTTCTTCTTCCTTGGTCTGAGACAGGCATTCCTGCCACTGCAATACACAAAATTATATAAACCCTGATATAATCGTAATAATAATAATAATAATAATAATAATAATAATAATAATAAATTTTATTTATATCCCGCCCTCCCCAGCCGAAGCCGGGCTCAGGGCGGGATATAATAAAAGAATAATAAAAGAATCTCCATGATTCTCAATGCCTCACCCTTGAACCAGGCAGCATCATTTACTTCCCACTAGATCAGATTCCAATCAAATAATAATAATAATAATAATAATAATAATAATAATAATAATTTATTTATACCTCACCCATCTGGCTGGGTTTCCCCAGGCATTCTGGGAGGCTTCCAACAAAAGATTAAAAATACATTAAAACAGTCATTAAAAACTGCCTTCAGATGTCTTCTAAACATCAGATAGTTGTTTATTCCCTTGACATCTGATGGGAGGGCGTTCCACAGGGCAGGTGCCACTACCAAGAAGGCCCTCTGTCTGGTTCCCTGTAACTTCGCTTCTCACAGTGAGGGAACTACCAGAAGGCCCTGAGCGCTGGACCTCTGTGTCTGGGTTGAACAATGGGGGTGGAGACACTAGAAGTCAGGTACAAACCAAACGGGGTTCCCCCCTAACAAACTGTCTGATTTCTGCTGACAACCTCTTACCTGTACTTGCAATCCACACCCAGTGACAGAGTTCCTTTTCTAAACTCTTTTTCCCCATTGAGTTGTGCGCTGTTGGTAGAACATCAAGACCTCCTGTCTGAGCATGCATAATGACCATGCTAATGCTGTATTTGACTGGACCAGTGATGGGGTTGCAATATCTTGAAGAGCAAAAAAGAGGACTGCTCAAGCTGCTGTCAACCTGAACTGGCGAAAGAGCCCGAAAAATCCAGAAATGTGAAAATCCGCCCAGATGGGCATGTTGGCCCCCAAAAGAGGACATGTCCGGGTTTTCCTGGACGTATGGCAACCCTTTAAGTTCAAGCCAAGCTCCCTCTATATATGGCCCACAAGCATAGAGAAAGGAGAGTACGGAGAAACTGTTTGCTTTCAATATTGATGTTTCTCCTCCTTGCAGCTACAGCCCAACAGATGGTGCTGCTCACATCCCTGATATCTTAGGAGGAAGACAACAGCTGATTGCTACAGCATCAAGTTCAATTAGGCACTTAATGATCTGGACTCTTCCGTTGTGATAACAAATTAGAGAAACAGAAAGAGACCGTGCGCTGCTGTACATATGGGGAAAACACAGCTGAACATGGCAAGGGCACACGGGGAGAGAAATCAAGAGGGAATCTGTGTAGTGAAACTTGAAGCAGCTCCTTTACTCCTCATTAGGTAGGCAGGTTGGTTAGGATTACATGTGTATTTGGGCAAATCATACTTGGCAAGCATATGGATTAATATAAGATCCTAGATAATAAAAAGGGAACAGTTACAGGATTATAACTCAAAATGCAATCCCTGGTGCCTTTCTGGTCTGGTCCTGAGCAGGATGGCTCCTGCAAATAAAGGTGGTGAAAAGAGGAAAAAACGATCAGCCATCAATGAGGTGGTTATTCAGGAATATACTATAAATATTCACAAACACATCCATGGTGTGTGCTTCAAGAACTGGGCTCCTCGTGCTCTCAAGGAGATTCAAAAATTTGCAATGAAGGAGATGGGGACTCCTGATGTACGCATTGACACCCGCATGAACAAGGCTGTCTGGGCAAAATAATTATTATTATTATTATTATTATTATTATTATTATTATTATTATTATTTATACCCCGCCCTCCCCAGCCAAGGCTGGGCTCAGGGTGGCTAACAAGCAATAATAAAAACAAGTTGAATGAATACAACTTAAAAACAAGATTAAAATACAACAATTAAAATATTGAAACATTAAAATATTAAAATGCAGCCTCATCACAGGAGGAGAAAGGAAAAAGAAAAAAGAAAGAGTGGGAGGGAATCAAATTGGCTCCAAGCCAAAGGCCAGGTGGAACAACTCTGTCTTACCGGCCCTGCGGAAAGAAATCAGATCCTGCAGGGCCCTGGTCTCATGAGACAGAGCATTCCATCAGGCCGGAGCCAATGTTGAAAAGGCCCTGGCTCTGGTTGAAGCTAATCTGACTTCCTTGGGGCCCGGGACCTAAGGAAAATTCCTTACCACAAAAGAA